ACATCTTCAGTCCTGCCAGAAGTCATATTTTAGACATGAGTTTCAGCAATAGGAGTGAACTAGTACGAAAGAAGCCACAGGAATTCGTGAGAAGGCGCTCTGGGAAGCATATAGAGCACAATTTGAGCTCCTGGCAGAAATGAATGGATGGACAGAGGAGCAGAAAGTAGTATATCTGGCAACGAGCTTGAAAGGACAACCACTGGAAATACTTGGACAGTTGTCAGCAGATGACAGGCACAACTATAGAGCAATGGTAGCTGCTCTAGAACTCAGGTATGGAACCCAAAATCAGTCTGAAGTCTATAGGGCTGGATTTAGGACGAGAGTCCGTGCTAAAGGGGAGAGCCTGCAAGAGCTGGCACAGGATTTGGAAAGTATGGCACACAAGGCCTACCCAACTGCACCACCTGATCTCCTCAAGTTGTTGCTGAGGGATCAGTTTGTAGATGCCTTGGACAGTCGACAACTGAAGATACAAATAAAGCAAGCACACCCCTCTACTATGGAAGATGCAATGAGCAGAGCTCTTGAATTCGAATCCTATGTTAAGTCCAGCGTACAGAGGTGTTAAGTACAGAGGTACCAAGGTTGGTACAGTCATGAGGATTCAAGGCCAGAAAAGGTCAGCTTTCAGAGAAGTTTGAGGAACTTTGCTGGCACTGTAATAAACCTGGGCACAAGAAAGCTCAATGCTGGAAACTTCAACACAAGGAAGATACCACGGCAGGAAAGACTGCTACCCAGAAAGGTTGTTGGAACTGTGGAGAGCAAGGACATATGAGGAGCCAGTGTAAGAAGAATACTGCCAATAAGTCGGCCTTGGGGAAACCAGTAGTGCTTCGTGTTGAGGGATGCCTACCAACCCCCACCATGAAAGTCCCAACAGCTAGGTGTAAAATGCCAAGCACACATAGTGTATACGTGACAAGAAAGCTGGATGGCCAAAAGTGCAACTTTGTCATAGATTCTACATCTCAGCAAACCCTTGTGAGTATTAAGTTGCTAGATCACAAAGGAGTACCAGAAACCATACAGAAGCTTTGTAGTGTGACAGGACATTATGCAAGGTTGTGGGGACCAGTGTGGGTGACTATTGAGCTCATAGGCATAAAGGACAGACACAAAGTATACTTGGCTGACATTGAAGACTAATGCATACTAGGGTTGGACTACTTACTACCGAGGAAGTTTGTAATTAATTTTGATAAAATGACGTTTGGGAACAACAAAGGCCAAATTCCGCTAACTGGTAAAAGAGAGGTTGAACTAACCAGGTGCCATCAAGCTGAAGTCAAAGTGACTGAAGGAGTTGATGATGGTGAAGTGCAACCAGGTATAGATATTAAATCAGAGAAGGAGAAAGACCACGATTCGAAGCCAATAATTGATTTTCTAAAAGAAGGTATCTAGCTTAAGCCCTGTGACAAAGAACTATTGGGCACAATGGGACCAGTTGAAGCTTGAAGATGGTATTTTTTTCTGGAGATGGGAAACTGCAGATAGGAAAGTGACGACCTGGCAAACGAATAACTTTCTCGGTATAAGGGGAAGTTGTGCTGCGTCAATCCCATGATAGTTTAACAGGAGGACATCTAGGAGTTAAGAAAACAGAGATTTTACTGGATAGGTATGAGGCAAGATGTGGAAGAATGGTGCAGGACTTGCAGTACATGTTGTGCTAAAGGAGGGCCCAAGCATAAGAGACGTGCTCCAATGAAGTTATATCAAGTTGGCGCACCAATGGAAAGAGTGGCCATTGACATTGCAAGTCCTTTGCCCCAAACTCGTGCTGGAAACAGGTACAATTGTGTGGTGATGGATTATTTCACCAAGTGGCCTGAGGTATATGCAATACCAAATCAAGAAGCTACAACTGTAGTTTCGGCTATTAGTGATTT